TTTATAAATCAAAATTTTAAATATCAAGATAAAAAAATTTGTTATCAAATAAAGTAAGAATTTCATAATCCATTTTAATTTGGAATATAGTTTTTTTATTAGCAAACTATGTAGTCTCTAATTAATTTTTTTCCTTGACAGTTCTTTGATTAAATTTAATCTATACAAGTCAATAGCTCATCAAATTATTTTGATGCTTCTTCTAATACTCTCATTCTGACATAAACTTCCTTTTTTTAAAGTAAGCAGTTTTAATCAAGTTGCCCGAAAAACTAAATCACGTTTTTGTTATCAAAACTGAATAGTTAATTTGAGCACTAATCTTAGATTTGCCAGTATCCCTTTTAACTGTTTTCATTATTTGAAGTTTCAGCAAGATTTTTTATCCTATCAATGTTATATTTTTTGACAGTATCGTTCACAAGACAGTCTACATACTAGTAAAGAGCTACCTACTCTTTAGTTTGTTTATTTTAAAATTAATTTTAAATGCACACTTTCATTCTACCTTAATCAATATTTCTTTATTCTTTATTTTCAGTTATACTCAAAAGCACATCGCATATTTTCAAGCTTTAATCAATAGTTTCTTAGGATAGTTATTAATTATCATTGAAGATATTGTTTTTGCATTCAATTTTGATGTTATAATCAATAGCGTATATTTTATCTTACAACATGAGTAAACTACGCTTAAAGGAATTTTAGGCTGTTAATTCTTGACCACGAATATTAATAGCAGTCACGAATGAGAAGGTCATCAAGGATAATATTATTAATATCTTCATATCTTTTTTTTAATTTTATTGATTTATTTTATATTTTTTAATTTATATATTTTATTTAAGTTTACTATCTTTTCGACTAAGTATTTAAAAATCTATATTATTATATTTTGGTTTGTTAATATTAAACTTAATATTCTCGAAATGAATGATATCTTTAAAATCTAAATATATTAGATTAAGTATTTAAAAAAAACTATATTTTTCTATTTTTGTATGTTACTATAAATTTATTTTTCTAGAAATTATCGATATTGTAAATTAATCATCCATAGTAAGTAATAAAAATTTAAATAAGCTAATAACTAAAAATAGTTATATTAGGTACTATTTTAATAAATAAGATTTACTTTCGAATATATTTTGATTTACTAAGTTAATAACAAAGTTCTAGTTTTAAATTAAATTAAATTTTCTTTTTTATTTATTTGGATTCATTTAGTAGTAATAGACATTTTAAATTAAACTTAATTAAAAAAGTGCCATCAAAATAATTACAAAATTTGAGAAAAAAATATAAAAATTGCTCCATATTTTCATATAATACAATTTAAAATACCGTCTGTA